TATCTTGCTTAAGTGTAAATTTGTATTTCTCTTTTCTGAGTCATCTTCTCTCAAGACTGAAGAGCCCCGGCTTGTCTAGTCGCTGCTCATAGCTCAGTCCCGTGACACTGGAGGTCATCCTTGTTGCTCTCCTCTGCACAGTCTATAGAGCCTGGGTAGCCCCTTATGTCACGGTGACCAGAACTGTATGCAATCCGACTAGAGTCTGAGAATGCTCCACTGGCTCCTAATCCCCCAGAGGTTAGAGTTCAGTGGACTCTCCACGTTCCCCCGCCCGGCCTGCCCCACCATTGACGGTCGAGCCTTCAGCCTCTCTGCCCTCCACTTTTTGAACTCCATCCCACAATCCCTCCTTTGCCTCCTTCAAGGCCCATCTCCAGATCCTCCTCTTCGATCGCATCTTCAGTCACTCTCCTACCCCCGCCCTCCTTGCCCTCCACCCCTCTTGATCCCAACTCCCTGAACCCAGATGATTTAGCAGTATTATCCATTGTCCTGTTTTCTTGTTTATTGCTGTCTGACGCTGTTTGACATTGGGCCAAATGTGCCGTACAAACAGATACAGTAAACAGGTCACTCAGGTTTCTTAATTTAGAAGGGATATCGCAAAATTCGGTGCCGTCCTGGTTCAATCTGTTGACCAAGCGCTCTGGTCTATGGGTCAGATGGTTGAGGGTTCAAGCTCACATATTGTGACTCAGAGCTGATAATCCAGGGCTGACCCTCCAGTGCATTGCTGGAGGAGGTGGGGGGGAGTTTTATGCTCAGATGTGGACCGTGATAATTTGTCATAATCATCAGTCTGTTCTGAATAAAGTCATTGTGTTGATAAGATAACAACTCATCCAATTAGTTTATCCTAAGTCTGTGGTAATATGTTGCGGATCATTTATACTGTGTAGTACCTACAGTAAAGCTCTGTTGTAAGTGTTTACATTATAAGAGGGGGGAGGGCTCTGGGGACACAGAGGACGGACTGGAGGGCTCCCCACGCATTATAAAATGGCCGACTTCCCGGTCATCACAGTGTGCAGGAAATTAGGTCATCGGCGATGTGATGACCTGAAAGTGTTCCCGCTTTCTGACCAGTGAGGTCACCGATCATGCAAATTTTGTCGACTTGAATTATAGGTCTCACTGCATTGTCACAGGAACAATTTTACAGTGTTTCTTAACGGTTTTCTTAGTTAAGAAGTTCGTACGTCCTTGATATGCAGCGTTAACTCAATTGATATTCAGCGAAGCATTCCCCGCTCTTAATAATAATAATAATAATAATAATAATAATAACAACAACTTGCATTTATATAGTGCCCTTCATGCAGGGTAGGGTCCTGGAGAGCTTGACAGTGGCGGAGTCTGACCCTGAGCCAGGGGGTAGAGGGAGGGGGAGGTTAACCGTAAACAGAATTGAAAAGGAAGGTCCAAAAAGGAAGCTCAGTATTTATGATGGATTCCCAGAAGAAGGCTCCACTGAGATTTCTTAATTCAGGATTCCGTTGATGAATTTCCAGCAAAATTGAACCGGGTGCATAGTTTTAGTATGACAGGCGCAGTGAATATATTCTCACATATTGATTATCCGATCGTAACGTATTGCGTATTACTGCTGTATTATCTTTCATTTTCTGCTGTAAGATATGCAGTGTTTTTTATATTCATTTTCATATGGCATTTGATAAAGTTTCGGGAGGATGTCGCAAGGCTCTGGACAGTCAAGGATTTGGACCCGAGCTGGGGGTTGAGATCAGGAGGGGTGGAGGGCAGGGAGGGTAGGGGTAAGAGGATGACTGAAGGCGCGGATGGTCTTGAGACAGACTTTCAAGGAGGCAAGCGAAGGGGGTGGGGGGCAAGATGGAGGGACTGTGAGATGGAGTTCATAAGCGTGGGGGCAGAGAGGCTGATTGAAGATTATTGGGTGGGATGGACAAAAAGAAAGGCAGAGAGGGGGGTTTAAATACTGTGTCTCAAAATTGGTTGGATATTATTTTGTGTGGGGGTGGTGGGGGGTGGTGGTGGGGTGCACCCCAGGGATGTGTGCAGGGATTGAGTCAAAATAATTGTGTTTGAACGTTGTGTCTAACGTTACTTGCCTGGCTCTACCCTGTCTCGTTGCCAGCAGTCACGTCTCCTAACCTCATCGCGAGCAGCACTAACACGCCCGGCACTAACAGCCCGAGCCCCCTCACCACCGGTGAGCAAACACTTTATTATTCTTATTCAGATATGAACCGTGATATTCCATTGTCTCCATCACTGCTATGAATAAACCACTTGTGTAGTTTTATAAATGATCTGAACTCAGTGTATAATTCATTTTACTCCCAACACAATGGCAATGTGTTTTGTGGGACATTTTGTACCGTGTAGGCTTTTTTTTCTAGTCAGCCGGGTGTCAGACACATGCAGAAGCCCATCGCTGTGCTTAACAGTATCCAAACCAAATTGAGAGTTTAATGGAGCCCAACTACACATAGATATTCCTGTGGATTGGATTGCAATGCGCACTCTCTCTCTGGAGGGACGCATGCTGCTCACCTAATTCCAGGGAGTTTTAAGTACAGCCTGATAAGACTCGGCTCGGGGACCCCAGAGTGTGCGTTGTTCTCCACTGTGCTCGTCACTGCTATGAATTAGCCTGTTGTGTTGTTTTATAAATGATCTTCTCTCAGTGTTGGAGTCTAACCAGCTAAACCACACTGCTTGTCATTGAAAGCACTGTCTGGCAAGCTTTCCGCGGCTTGTCCAGCTAGGAACACCCTACCCATTAGGGCTTTGGTTTGCAGGGTTAACAAGAGCTGAATGGGAGGATTCCCTGCCCCCAGTGACTGTTTGGCCCTTCCAAGCTCTACCGATGAGCCAAGCTGGGCTGTAGTGTCATCAACGGTGCCATGGAATACTTTGGACCCGCCTGGCTTAGGAACTGGACTAGAGAATGTCACGGAGAGCGGACTCAATTCCGACATTCTGCTGCCAAACACGTCACCTTGGAGCCAGTTCAGCTCCAAGGAGATCCCACTCAGCCCCTCCACACAGCATAGTGTTTGCGGGTGAACCCCCAGGGATGTGTGCAGGGACCAAGTCAGTTTCATGGTGTTTGAACGTTGTGTCTAACATTTCCTGCCTGGCTCTTCCCTGTCTCGTTGCCAGCGGTCACGTCTCCTCCTAACCTCAACACGAGCAGCACTAACACTCCTGGCATTAACAGCTCAATCCCCCTCACCCCCGGTAAGCAAACACTTTATTCATCTTGTTCAGATATGAACTGTGTTATTTCATTGTCTGAAACGTTGGTGCCCTCAAGAGAGTCGTTCTGCATTTTGTATAATGTCTTAAATAACAATAATAATCCTCGCATTTGATATAGCGCCTTATCACGTCATTGAGACGTCTCAAAGCGCTTCGCAGAATATTTTGTAAAATGAATTGACTGTGTACGTTTTGCGGGCAAAACGCGGCAGCCAATTGCACAGAGCACTGCAATTGCTCTTGGAAACAGTCGTGGATTGAAGTGACCAAATTATTATTATGTCATTATTTAATTATTTTGATTCTCTTTTCTTAAAAAAAACGGTGTAATTGTAGTAATGTGTTGTGGAATATTGGGCAGTGAAAATTGTGATCTGCGATGGGTAAATTATCACATCTTCCCTCCCCTTCCTCCACCCCACAAACTTTAATATTGCTTATCTTTATGACTTGCATCAAAATTCCTCTGCTTTTTCGCCCATCATGTTTATGCTGGTGCTCGCTGCCTAATCTGCTCTACTCTAATCCCATTCCTTTGCTCTTTCCGAAAAGGGTCTGCGCTGGTGCTCGTTCCCCCTATTGTTTTGGGTCAAAAATGTAACGTGTGATAATATTTTTATTTCATGCTCTGAGTGTGTGTGTGTGTGTGTCAGTCTCTGCGTTTGTGTGTGTCTCCGTGAATCTTGCATTGTGTGTGTGCATGTGTGCCTCTCTCTCACACATGCCCTCGCACAAAATAATAATAATAATTTGGTCACTCAATCCACGATTGTTTGTTGGACGCTGCTGTGTGCAATTGGCCGCCGGTTTCGCCCACAAATTACAGTCAATTCACTTTACAGTATATTCTCTGAAATACTTTGAGACGTCTCAATGATCTGATAAGGCGCTACATCAAATGCAAGGGTTATTATTATTATATATCACTGGTGCTAATTATTCTATTGACCAAAAATCACAGTCAGCAGTTAGCACCAGCCTTGGAGGTGTAATGCCCCCCTATCTCCTCGTTCCCACCCCTGCCCTACCCAAGTGATGAATAATGACCACTTTTGACCACATTGTGCTGGTCGATGTGATAATTAACCCCTGTGATAACACCACATGTTGCAGCGTTGAACCCTAGAGCCCTTAAAGGGGAGGGCAGAATAAAAAAATGCACATTTTTCTTGCCTGTAGATAATAGACAAAATAATGTGCTTCTTTGTTCAGCTCTTTCACGAGATGGGAGTAAGGACGACTGGTCAGAACTGAAGCCTAGGCTCTCTACTCTCTGACCCTTAACCCATTGGGTTCTTTGGGAAAGCTTTGAGGATTGAAACAAAGGTCCACTGCGCAGATTGATGGCTGAATGTTTCTTAGTCAGAACCTTTCACTAAAAGTTATTTGGAGTCCCGTAGCATGGAGGTTAGCCCGCTCGCCTTGCAAGCAAGAGTACCCGGGTTCGATTCCCCGGCAAGTCAAATCTTTTGGCAAGTTTGCTCGCTCCACACCCCTGTTTGCCTAGCGATAACTAGGAACCCGGTTGTAATAATCCCTCCAAAAAAAACAATTGGTCACTCAATCCACGATTGTTTCGCCTACAAAATAAACAGTTACCTCACTTTATAATGTATTTTGTGAAGCCTTTTTTATCATGTCTCAATGATGTGATAAGGTGCTATATCAAGTGCAAGGATTATTATTATTAATATTATTATTATCTTCTCAGGTATCTTGTGTTGTGACTCTGTGTTCCTTCCACTGTACAGGGGGATTGTTCTACAGAGCAGACTTTACTGTCTATAGTCTCTACAGCGAGAACATGGACAAAGCACAGATAGAAGAAGTGATCTCCACTTGGGTATGTGACACATGTCTACCTCTTTTTTTCTATTGTGCGGTTTGGGCTGAACACCTGTGGTAATTGTCCCATCATCTCAACTGATGTGTATAACATTCTTATTAATGTTTTTCAGCTCTCTGAGTCCTTTAGGAACTGGAATTACACTGTGTCCGTCGTCAGTGTGAGGTGAGAAGACAGAGGCTTAAAACATTAACATGACTCTGTACACCTTAGCTGACTACATGTTCCTCTCTCTGTTTTATGCTTTGTGTCTCTGTGTCTCCCTGACCATCTCTGTCTGCTCTGTGTCGCTCAAAGAGATAGGTCTTGAAATGGGAGCGAGCGAGTTTGAGGGACTCTGGGACAGAGTTCCAGAGAGCAGGAAGCCCATTGATAGTGGGGAGCGGGAAAAGGAGAAGAGAGATTGGAGAGGGGAAAGATGATCAAAAGCACGGTCAAAGAGGTAGGTCTTGAAAGAGGTGAGGGAGTGAGTTGGAGGGACTGTGGATGGACTTCCAGGGAGCAGGGGGCAGAATGGCAAATGGTGAGGTGGGCAAGGGAGCTGAAGCAGGCTGGTGAAGGGAGTAACCAGGTTTGAGAAGGTCGCAGAGATAGGATGGGGGATGAGGATGTGGAGATAATTAAAGGTGAGCGAGGATCTTGAACTCGATCCGCTGGATCCAATCCAATGCTTGGATGCACTGCCTTCTCTGTGATTTGTAGTTATCAGTAACTTGTGTTAATTAGAAACATACAAACAGGAGGAGGCCATTCAGACCTTGGGGCTTTTCTGCCATTCTATAAGATCACGACTGATCTGTACGTCAAGTCCAGTTACCCACCCTTGCCCCATATCCCTTGATACCCGACCTAAAAAAAATCCATCCACCTCAGTCTTGAAGATGTGAAGATGTTTTGTAACCCTGTTCTTTTGTGCCAGGATCCAGGAGAAAGCTAGAAGTTTAAAATTAGGAAAGAGATCCCTGTTGGACACGAGTGCTGGGTAAGAGAAAGGTTTCTGTGTCTCCAGTTAATGTGATTGTTGGATCAGCCTGGCTCAGCGGTAGCGCCCTCACCTCCTAGTCAGAAGATTGTGGGTTCAATCCCCACGTCAGGAGTTTGAACTGGTATAGACCCGGCTGATACTCCACTGCAGGACTGCCTTATCAGAGGTGACGTCCTTCAAGTGAGATATTAAACCTGTGCCTGTTCAGGTGGATGCTGAAGATCCCATCTCGAAAAGAGAAGGGAGTTTCTCTCTCCTGGTTAACAATCTCCCAAATAAAATTGGTCACTTACTCACTGTCTGTGCTGTCTCTTTTAAGAGCAATCCTTTCAGTCCCTGAAACTGGAACTTTCTCACTCAATCCCTCCACTTTGCCCCATCCTTCCCCCTCTTCAGATTACATCCATATACCTTCCTCTTCGACCGTTCCTACAATCCCCACTCCCCCCAGCTCAGCGTCGTGCCCCACCACTGTTAAGCGCTCCAAGGCGCTATCCTGCATGAAGGGCGCTGTATAAATGCAAGTTGTTATTGTACAATGATAGGCATCAACTGCAAAGATTACCTATTATAATTTGGTCACTCACTCCATTGGACACCGGGACACTGCTGTGCACAATTGGCTGCCGCGTTTCGCCCACAAAATACAGTCAATTCACTTTACAGTACATTCTGTGAAGTGCTTTGAGACGTCTCGAAGATATGATAAGGTTCTGTATCAAATGCAAGGGCTACTGTTATTATTGCTATTAACAGAGGTGTTTGACTCTACAGGTTTGACTGCCGAGCAATCCTCTATTGCAATGTGACGAAGATCTTTCAACTGCAGGAGAGAGTTGTGCAGGAAAGGCTCGTGAATGCGTCTGGGGGATTAGGACACAATCTTTCTGTGGTGTCTATTATCGTCAATCCAGTGGGTGAGTGACACTGTGTGTGGATAGGCTGCCCAACAGTGATCAGGTCATCAGTGATCCCAATGCCTTATAGTGTAGTGACAATCCAGGATCATTCCTACTCCTACTCCTAGTATAAATCCCAGTCCCGATCGCAGTTCTACTCTCAATCCCACTTCCCAGAGGCGAAAGGAATGTGGGATGGAGTTCCATAGGGTGGGGGCAGAAAGACTGAAGGCCCGATCGCCAATGGTGGGCTGGGCTGGGTGGGGGCCACAGCCTGCTGAGCAGAGGGAGTGGAAGGTTGATAAGAGGTTAGCAGGTCACAGAGGTAGGAAGGAGCAAAGCCGTAGAGGGCCTTGAAGGTGAGAATGAGGATTTTGAACTCTATCCTCTGGGGGATGGGGAGCCATGGATCCGGGCAAGGGTGATGGGATCATGGAGCCTGGTGCGAGAGAGGACACGAGCCTCAGAGTTCTGGATGATCTGCAACCTGTGGAGGGAAGAGTTGGGAAGGCCGACAAGCAGGAAGTTGGCGTAGTCGAGTTTGGATGTGATGAATGCGTGGATGAGGGTTTCGGGGGCCTACATTGTGAGACAGTAGCGGAGCCTGGCGATGTTGCGGAGGTGGGGGAAGGCAGAGCGGGTCATGGCACGGATGTGGGGCAGAAAGCACAGCTGAGAGTCAAACAAGACGCCAAGGCTCCGGACTGGGCTCAGTGAGGTGGAGTGTTTTATTTCCAAGCTCCTCACCTGAGCTCATGTCAGCCTCTGTTCTGTTCTCCACAGATAACTGCACAGAAGAAGAAAGTCCATCTGATTACTTTTGGCCACAGACCAGGCCACCAGCCACCCAGTTTCTGATGTGCGTCTCAAACGGGGGTCAGTTTGCAGTCAGGCAGTGGTAAGCGGATAATATTATTATTAATAAAAGTAATAATGATGATTAATCATTGTCTGGGACACTACCTTGCACGAGGGGCGCTGTATAAATGCAAGTTGTTGTTGTCGTGTTCAAATCCATTCACTCTCTGGCACCCCCCCTGCCCCTCCGACCTCCTCACTCCCCAATCCACCACCCAGTGCCTCCGCTCGACTGGCCCCGGCTCCTGCTCATCCCTCACACCCTTCGCCCCACCATCGGAGGTCGCGCTTTCAGCCACTACCCCGCCCCGAAACTCTGGAACACTTTCCCTCAATCCCTCTGCCTTGCCCCCCCCCCTCTTCCCTCTTTCGAGTCCCGCCTGAAAACTTTCCTGTTCGATCGTGCTTTGCAGCGACTGTGCGCGTTTTGCGAGCGAAGACAGCAGCCAATTTGCACGAAGCGACGTCCCAGAAACAATCACAAAAAAATAAGTAAAAATGCGGTCACTCAAACCACGACTGCGTGCGGGACGCTGCTGTGCGCAATTGACTGTTGCGTTTCGCCCACAAAATACAGACAATTCACTTTACAATCTCTCCTGTGAAGCGCTTTGAGACGTCTCAATGGCATGATAAGATGGTAAACAAGGATTATTATTATTATAATTATTATTATTATTACCTCTTTGACCCCCCCACTCTGGTCACCTGCCCCTCTCTGCCTTGCTCGGCTCCGATCCCGCTCACTGTGCTGTGCTCCTGAGTCTCTAATCCTGCGTGAAGAGCGCTGCGTAAATGCAAGTTGTTGTCGTCGTTGTTTGTGTGAGACGCAATGGGTTAATGCCGTGCCGTTGCTCTTGTCCAGTGTTTTGAACCTACAGAACTACTCCTCTCACTGGAACCCACCAGATCTGAGCAACTGTTCGCTGAGCACAACAGCCAACCCCAACATCAGTGACATCGAGAACATTAAAGTCTCGCCAGGTATCATCACCCCCTCCTCCCATCACGCACACGCATGTACCTTCCCGTGTCGATGTCTTACTGTGTCAGTGCTGTGGAGGAGCACCACGTTGTAAGGTTTACACGCACGCGCACACACTCAGGTACATGCATCGCGCATACACACACACACACACACACGTGCATGCATTGACCCCCGCGCGCACGACTGCACGCACACAACCATGCACACGTACTTGGGTAAATCTTGCAGGCCTACACACGCACTCTCACGGTAAACCTTGTACACGCATGCGTGCGCGTGTGCATGCTCACAAACAAGGGTAAACATGCGAAAATTCTGTGCACGTACATGGGCATGCGCACACACACGCAGACACACATACACTGAGTCAAAGCTTTTATGCACACGGACACAGGCACACACTAAGGTACAGCTTGAATACACAATCACACACAAACACACACCAAGGTAAACCTTGTCACTGTGCACACTTCTACCTACACCTCCTCTCCACATACCTACACACACACATCCCCCACCCCCTCCACACACACCTACACACACACACTCACCGCGCACACATACCCACCCTCCCACCCCCCCCCACACACACACTACAACACTAGAACAACAACTTGTGTCCAAGAGCATTCGAACATTGAACACTAAGGTAAACCTTGTGTAAACACACGCAATAAGTGTGCAGACTTGTACATACACACACACACCAAGGTAAACTTTGTACACAAGGGCAGTGTACACACACACACATGTACCATCCAGCCCAGGTTCCCAAATACCCACTTGACAAGGATATCCTGTGCCCCCCCCCCCCCCCCCCCCCCCCACCCCCCCCCCCCCCCCCCCCCCCCCCCCCCCCCCCCACACACAGACAACGCGGCCGACGTGGCAAATCAGCTGCTGGACTTCACGGCGGACACCAAGAACCTGACGAGGGAGCAGGTGGACCGGCTGGTGGAGACCCTGAGCCAGATTGTCATCGTGGCCAGCATCAACGAGTCGCTGGCCTCCACTGTGGTGACTGTCCTCTCCAACATCCTCTCCAGCTCCGACACCGCCCTCGTCACCTCCTCCCGAGTGTGAGTTGCCCCCCCAGCCCTCCCCCGCTCCTGACGTGAAAGGCATTGCAGCATAATAATTCACCCACAAAATACACAGTCACTCCACTTTACAGTATACTCTGTGAAACGCTTTGAGACGTCTCGAAGATGGGATAAGAAGCTATATCAAATGCAAAGATTATTATAATAATAATATCATAATAATAACAAAGGGGTTACAATCCCTTTAGCTCCAAAACATTTGGTCACTCAATCCACCACTGTTTGTGGGACGTTCCTGTGTGGAATTGGCTGCCGCGTTTCACCCACAAAATACACAGTCAATCCACTTTCCAGCATATTCTGTGAAGCGCTTTGACAAGGCGCTACATCAAATGCAAGGACTATTATTATTATTATTATTATTATGATTATTAACCATCTTTCTCTTGAGGCAGAGCTCTCCAGACGGTTGATGCATTGACGGTTAAGATGACCTTCCTGGGACCTTCAGTGAGCATCACCTCCCGGAACCTGGCTCTGGGAATCTCCGCTGTGGATCCCAGGAACTACAGTGGCACCTCCTTCAGTGTGGGCTCCCTGGAACCCGACTCTGACCTGAAGGTGATGACCCCATCGGGGAGAAAGGGCTCGAACTGTCCTGCTCAAATCTTTGGAACTTGTCCCTCAATCCCTCCACCTTGCCTCTGCCTTCCCCTCTTTTAGATCATGACCGAAGACCTTCCTCTTCGAACGTGCTCACGGTCAATTCCTCCCTCCGTCCCTCCCTCCCTCCCTCCCTCCCTCCCTCCCGATTCAGCATCGGGTTCCACCGCTGTTAAGCGATCCTTGAAAACAAAGGAAAATAAACTGAGTCTGTGCCCGTTCAGGTGGACGTTAAAGATCCCGTGGCGCTATTCGAAAAGAGAAAGAAGTTTCTCTCTCTCCATGTCCTGGCCAACAATCCCCCTGATAAAATTTGGTCACTCACCTGACCTCTCCCCATGCAGTTTTGTTTGCTCAGCCGGGTGTCTGACGCGTGCGGAAACCCATCGCTGTGCTTAAGAGTCTCCGAACCACCCACACATGGAAATCCCAGAGTGAGATTGTTGGGATGGAATGTGCTCTCTCTCCCTGGAGGCACACATCCTGTTTTCCTAATCCCGGAGAATATTAGGCGCAGATCGGCGAGATCCAAGGCTTGGGGACTCCAGAGTGTGAGTTGGGGTAACTGCTGGAGACGAGGTCAGGGGTTTCCAACTGGTTGATCGCCCACGAGGTGGCGCGCTCGCACATGATCAAAAAGACAAGAGGAAGGAGCAATAGAACTGCAATGTTTTTGAGACAAATTGGAGCCAGATGCAGGAAGGTTTTCATGCATCTGGAAATAAATGTGTAAACTCTAATGTTAAAACTGCTTTAAAGATCCCATGGCGCTATTCAAAAAGAAAAGGAGTTTCTCTCTCTCCCAATATCCTGGCAAAAAATCCCCCAAATAAAATTGGTCGCTCACTTTGTGGCTGTTCGTTGGACATTACTGTGCAAACTGCCTGTTTCTCATCCACGAATGCACAAACCCCTATAATCCTCCGTTTTCTTTTGCAAACGCTCCTGTGAGCGTTCTTCCTCTGACCCCCTCCTCGACTGGCTCCGGCCTCCTGCATGTCCCTCGTGCCCTCCGTTCCACCGCACTTTCAGCCACTACGCCCCAAAACTCTGGAACACTCTTCCTCAATCCCTCTGCTTTGTCCCCTCCTTCCCCATCTTCAGTTCGCGTCTGAAGACCTTCTTCTTCGACCGTGCCTACAGTCACCTCCCCCCAGCTTGGCGTCATGCTCCGCCACTGTCAAGCGCTCTGGGATGCTACCCTGCAGGAGGGGCACTGTATAAACGCAAGTTGTTGTTGTTGTTGATCGCGTCTCTCAGTGCGGGGCTCCTGACTCCTCTGTTGTGATTGACAGGTTGACTTTGACAAGGACACTGAGGCAGAGTCACTGGCCGAGGTCCTTCTGCCCACCAGCCTCTTGGAGCAATTGAGCGAGGCAGAGTTCAGCGCTGTGTCCAGGACTCAGTTTGCGTTCTTCAGCAAGAGTGGACTCTTTCAGGCAAGATCACCGTCAAATAACCTCAGGAACTCTCTCCCTCTCCCCTCCGCCCCCTCTTTATCTACCTACCTCTCTGATCATGTCTATTCCTGTGAAGCTCTCTGAGACGCCACTCTATAAATGGAATTTGTTGTTGTGTAAAGTTCAAGAAACTTGCTAAATTCCCACTAAAACTTCACCAACCTGTCCACTCCCTCTGCTCGGCAGGTAGCTGGTCTGCTCCATGTCCGCCGCCCTGCCTGCTGCACTTTTGGTGGTCAGCCTTCAGCCTCTCTGCCCCCACCCTCTGGAACTCCATCGCGGAGCACCTCCACCTCACCCTCTCCCTTGTCGTCTTCAAGATCTCCCTCTTTGACTTTGCCTTTGGCCAGTCTCCCACCTCCACCCTCCCTGCCCTCCACCCCTCCTGATCCCAACCCTTGACTGTCCAGCGCCTTGGACGTCCTCCCAACGCGAAAGGCGCCGTGTAAGTTGTTGTTGTTGAGTTGGACTGTGTTGCATTGGCACGTGTGTGAATCTCTCAGTTGTTTGGTTTGGAGACTCTGCTGTGTTACATTGAGTAACAGTCGCTCAGTGATGTTTGGTTGGTTTCTCCCCTGCAGGACCCGGGAGCTTTTCCCCTGGAGGGTTACGTGGTGGCGAGCAGTGTGGGCAACATCACCATTGAGGACCTCTCCCAACCCATCAGGATCAAAATCAAACACAGACAGTCCGAGGTAGGTGTGGGTCTGCACTCCAGCCCTGCTCTTGGAGGGCAATGTGGAGTCCTGTAGCGTATTGGTTAGTACTCTGGGACGCTACCCTGCAAGAGGGGCCGCTGTATAAATGCAAGTTGTTGTTGTTGGTGCTGGCTAGAGCACTCGCCTCGCAAGTGAGAGCTCCCGGGTTCGATACCCGGGCAGGGCAAAACCTTAGACAAGCTTCCTTACTCCACATCCCACTGTTTATCTAGCAGTAAGTCGGAACCTGGTTGTTAGTCGACTAGCGGATTGCTTTGCAGAGGCAATAATCCCTCCAAAAAAAAAGAATAATTCAGTCACTCAATCCACGACTGTTTGTGGGACACTGATGCATTTCGCCCACAAAATGTACAGTCAATCCACTTTACAGTATAGTCCATGAAGCGCTTTGAGACATCTCAACAATGTGATAAGGCGCTGTATCAAATGCAAGGATTATTGTTATTATTATTTATAGCTGTGACCAAAACCTGGCGGCTCCTTAGTGCATTAGAGGGTATAATAATAATAATAATAATAATAATAATAATAATACAGTAAACTCCTGATTACTCATCAGTCCAAGGGAAAAGGGCTCAGTGACTAGTTATCCAGAGTGACTTGTTAGGCATAGAGGCTTCCAGGCCACAAGGGAGCGCTGGGATCATGAGGGGTGGAGGGCAGGGAGTGGGGGGATGGGAAGGTGGCCGAAGGCACTAGGCAGAGTTTGAGAGTTCATGTTCAGATGCATCGCAGAGGCCTCTGGTTTATTGGAGGTCCGGAGATGGCCTCCATACCTATCCTATCACAGGATAGGGTGGGAGCCAGGGCAGGAGGCTACTAGATCAATAAGGATAATTATTATAAATCTGTGTGAACATATGCGGTGTGTTTAAACATTTTGAGATGTCCTACCTACACGAAAAGCTCTATAAATGTAAATGTTATTGTATTGCACCTTCCCGTGGCTGTGATACCCTTTTGTCATGAGATTACGGGGCAGAACTGAGCACAGGACTTCAAAACAGCAGCCAACAACAACAACTTGCATTTACACAGTGCCCTTCACGTGCGATAGCGTCTCGGAGCGCTTAACAGTGGCGGAGCCCTACGTCGAGCCAGGGGGATGGTTGAGGTAACTGTAGGCACGGTCGAAGAGGAAGGTCTTCGAGACGTCTCAAAGCGCTTCACAGAATAGACTGTAAAGTGAATCGACCGCATATTTGTGGGCGAAACGCGGCAGCCAATTGCGTCCCCACAAACACTCGTGGATTGAAGTGACCGATTTATTATTGTTTTATGTCCCTTGAGGGATTATTATCAGGCGTGTGGAGTAAGAAAACTTGCCCAAGGTTTCGCCCCGGCCGGGAAAGAGGGAGCAAGGCAGAAGGATTGGGGGAGAGAGTTCCAGAGTTTCAGGGTATGATGGAAACCTGCAGCTGAACTAAGATTGAGGTTGAGGTACCATTGACTCTCTACAGGTGGCAATGCAGACAACGAACTGATGGTTGTCTCAATGGCACCCCAACAGGCTCCTAGATGTACTGCACCTCTCATCCCAGCTCAGTTCCTCTCCTATTTGACCCCCATCACAATCTTTCAAGCTGTAGTCTTGTAATGTTCAGTAATATACTGGTTGCCTTTCTTCTCTGGATCAGAAGGTTGTGGTTCAAGACCCCCGGTTTGTCCAATGTGGACTTCTGTCAAAAATAATACCAATTCAGTCACTCAATCCACAGCTGTTTGTGGGACGCTGCTGAGCGCAATTGGCTGCCGTGTTTCACCCACAAAATAACACAGTCACTGCACTTTACAGTACATCCTGTGAAGCGCTTTGAGATGTCTCAATGCCCGGATAAGGCGCGATATCAATTGCAAGGACTTTGTGCTGAGCAATGATCAGACAAACGAGGGCTCTTCGGTCTTGAAAAAAGATGACTCAAAAGGGACCTCACAGAAGTGTGTGACATTTTAAAAGGGATTGAAAAAATAAACCCAGACCAATACTTTAGAATGCACCAAGACAAGTCCACATTTGCCCACAAAATACTTAGTCACTGCACTTTACAGCAATTCTCTGAAGCGCTTGGAGAGGTTCACGAGATCAGTTCAAGCAAAGAAGACCCTTCGGCTCATCTAATCTCATCCCTCCAGAACAAGCTGCCTTTTACACGAGTCCCAGTGTCCTGGCCTCAACCACCCTTTGTGGTAACCCTGTTCCAGTCATTAATTACCCTCTGGGTAAAAAACATTTCCCGGTGTCGGTCCTGAAATTGCCTTTTGCAACTCTAAACCTGTGTCTTGGTGAATCCTAACTTTGCAGCGTTATAGCTGTACAAAATGGGAGGCTTGTTATTAAAATCATGTTTAACTCTTGCCTTGTGTCTTGAACAGATATCATTTAAGCCTCAATGCACATTCTGGGATTTGGCGTTAAACAGTGAGTAAAACCATTTCTTTTACGTGTTACAGTAGAAACTCTGCGGGTTTGTCTAGCGGGAATGGGGTACGTGTTGAAGCCACTAGCCGGCTAGCTCCCGAGCCATAAAATGGACAAACGACTGGTTGTCAGGTTGCGTAACTTCCTGGAAAAGCATAGGAAGTGACGTCGACAATAACCTGGTAGACAAACATTTTGGTTTTCATACCCATTAAAAAAAAGGCCCAGTCTCATCCAGGTCATCGAGTCACTAATGCCATTACTTCTTGCCAATGCACAGGAATTTATGTCAGCAGCCAATTGATGTCAACCAATTCGGCTTTCATGTAAATGTCTGACTTCCGTGTCACCACGTCGGCACTTCCCGCCAATGCACAGGAATTTTTGGGGGATTGGGAGCCAGACGGCTGCATGCATGAGTAGTTAAAGGACAGTGTTGACTTTCGCGGCCCTGTTATAATGCAGGTTGGAAGTTTATTATCAGAGGTGCCGTCCTTCGGATGAGGTCCCGTCTGCCTGTTCAGGTGGATGTTAAAGATCCCGCGGCGCTATTCGAAAAGAGAAGGGAGATTCTCTCTCCTGGAGTCCTGGCCAACAATCCGCCAAATAAAATTGGCTGTTTGTGGGTCATTGGCTGTGTGCAAATTGGCTGTTACAGTATATCCTCTGAAATTTGGTCACTCAATCCACGACTGATTGTGGGACGTTGCTGTGCACGATTGGCTGCCGCGTTTCCACCACAAAATATGCAGTCAATCCATTTTACAGTAAATCTGTGAAGCCGTTTGAGAAGTCTCGATGTCCTGCTGAGATGCTGTATCGAATGCATGGAATTATACGGTCTTGTGGTGTATCCAGCTGTTCACGCTTGGCTGCTGTTACACTTTACCTTCCAGATGGCAGTGGTGGGTGGAACCCTAAAGGCTGCCGAGTGCATCCACAATCCAACGCCAATGAGACCATCTGCCTGTGTGATCACCTAACCCACTTTGGAGTCCTGATGGTGAGGCCTTTTTTCTGTGAGATGGAGGGACAGGGAATTAACAGCCAGAATACAGTAGAGAGTTGACCACCCACACTGACTAGACTGGCCAGACTGGGAAGCACACAGTCTTAGCTGACGCTCCAGTGCAGGGCTGGGGGGTATGTTGTATTGCCAGAGGTGCCGTCCTTCAGATAAGACGTTAAACCGAGGTCCTGTCTGTTTGTTCAGGTGGATGTTAAAGATCCCACAGTGCTACTCGAAAAGCGAAGGGAGTTTCTCTCTCCCAATGTCCTGGCCAACAATCAAAAAATAAATAATCATACATTTCATGGCTGTTTGTGGGACACTGCTGTGTACATTTGGCTTCCACGTTTCACACACAAAATATGCAGTCACTGCACTTTACAGTATGTCCTGTCAAGCGCTTTGAGACGTCTCAATGACGTGATAAATGTGCTATGATTATTATTATAAGCAGACAGTGCAGTTAATTGGACATGAAGCAAAATTAGAAATTAATTACAGTGAAATAATTAGTTCCATCATAATATTATCTTTATTTTTATTGGTGAGCGAGGTAAACCTGCTCACACCCCGTTAACCGAATTAGATTGAAACATTCCACTTTGGGACCGAGGGTTATGTCCCCGCCGACAAACCCTAATCCCCCAAACCCTTCTAGGCTCTAAATTGTCAAAGGACAATGAGGATCTGATCCATGTCTTCACGACCACCGAATGGCCTCTCTGGCTGGGCAAGCCCAGCCTGAGCCTAGTGACCAAGTGCTCAAGGTAGCTCTGAGTTCAAGTGTTCTCTGCTCCATCTTTGTGAGAGCAGATCAAACTCCTTAGATCGGAAGTACTGCAATGCTGATTCCAACCAAAATAGGCCTGAAAGCATAGCTGCCGCTGGGAGCTCAATCTTTCCCATAATGCGCTCAGTTATGGGTGAGATTCGGTTAGGAAATCTCAACAGGGATGAACTTCCCCAGAAATACTAGCTCCAGAAGCAACTGTATAAGAAGAGAGACATTATCGCTGTCCCAGAGCACAATACCAGCCCTTTTTTCTTTCTGTCTCTGTCTCTCTCACTCTCTACCCTATCTCTCTCTGTCTCACGTTAAAATCCCTCCATGGTCTCAACCTCAAACCCCCCACCTACCTTTGTGACCTCCTCAAACCCTACCGAACCGGCTGCTCCCTTCCCTCAGTCAGCACTGAACTGCTTCATGTCCCCCGTACCTGTCCCCCCCACCATTGGTGGTCAGGCTTTCGGCCAATTCTGCCGTCGCTCTCTGGAGCTCCCTCCTTCCTTCACCTCATTCAAGCCCCATTTCAAGACCTTCCTCTTTGACCGTGCTTTCGGCCATCTTTCCCTCTCCCTACTCCAACCCCTTTGGTTCCCACCCCCAGCTCGAGTGCCTGGCCAGGATTGTTAAGTGTCTTGGAACATCCTCCCGACTCGAAAGGCGCTGTGTAAATGTAAATTTGTATTTGTCTCTCCTCTCTCCCTCTTTCTAACTCTCCTCTCTCTCTCTCACTCTCTCACACATTGCTCCTCTCCCTCACACTGTCTCTGTCTCACTCTAAGTCCCCCCCCTCCCCCCCCACTCTCTCTCACTCTGCTTCTCTGTTGTTGTGAAGCGCTCTGAGGCGCTGTCCTGTGTAAAGGTCGCTGTATAAAGGCACGTTGTTGTTTCTGTTGCAGGACATCTCTGGGACGGCCCATCAGATCGACGCGGTGAACACCCAGATCTTGACCTTCATCACTCACATAGGCTGTGGAGTGTCTGCCATCTTCTCAGCCACAACACTCCTGACTTACGTCGCCTTCGAGTGAGTCTGTCATCGTCAGCCCCACCCTCGCCCGGCTCCACTTGCTCCCCATCCCTCAGAGGATAGAGTTCAAAATCTTCGTCCTCACTGTTAAAGCCCTCCCCACAGTGTTGGTCCCGCATCTGTGACCTTTTGAAACCTGTCTAACCCGTCCGTTAGTCCTACTCGGTGGGCACTGGCCTGCTTCGTGTCCCCCATTCCCCCCCACCCCACTCTGCCTGACCCACCATCATTGGTCTGGCCTTCAGCCTTTCTGCCCCCGCCCTCTAGAACTCCTGTGAACCCCTCTGAATACATAGGTGAAACACGGCAGTCAATTGCACGCAGCAGTGTCCCACAAACAGTCGTGGATTGAGTGACCCCACTTTATTGGGGGGGGGGGGTGGCGGAAAGAATTATTACCCCGAGAAAGTGATACACAGTCACAGCACTTTACAGTATATCCTGTGAAGCGCTTTGAGACGTCTGTATCAAATGCAACAAATATTATTTTGCTGTTATTAAATGAACTATTTCATAGTTTGTTTAACTGTATTAAAAACATGCAAATTATTATTAACTTTATCGGTTTCTCCTCCGCGCTCCCCACCTTCCCCCATCCCATCCCACCCTCCCTCCCTCCCTCGCTCCCTGCAGGAAGCTACGCCGGGATTACCCCTCTAAGATCCTGATGAACCTGAGCACGTCTCTGTTTTTCCTGAACCTGCTGTTCCTGGTGGACGGCTGGTTGGCCTCCTTCCAGCTGCGGGGGCTGTGTGTGGCCGTAGGTGCCCTCCTGCACTTCTTCCTCCTGGCCTCCTTCACCTGGATGGGTCTCGAGGCCGTGCACATGTACATCGCTCTGGTCAAGGTCTTCAACACCTACATCAGGAAGTACATGCTCAAGTTCTGCATCGTCGGCTGGGGTAACCTATCCCTCTTCTCTTTATTTTCTCCTTCCCTCGCTCGGCCCGTCTCCTCGTCACCCTCCCCCCATTCTGTCAATCCCCCAGCCCCCATTTTCTCACTCCGCAACTAGATTGATCTTGTGTCAATGTGTCTCTATCTGTGTGTGTCTCTCTCTCTGTGTCTGTCTCACTGTGGGTCTGTCTCTGCCTCTCTCTGTTTCTTTATCTCTATCTTTTTGTGACTGTCTCTGTGTGTCTCTGTCTCTCTCTCCCTCTCTCTCTCACACACTCTCTCCATCTAGTTCCACATATCTGTGCCTCCTTCGCATGGAAATGTCCCTGTGTCTGGAGAGGAATGTGGACTCTCTCCATGGAGGGATGCACCCTGCTTACTTAGCCACAGATTGGCAAGACCCAAGACTTGGGGGGGAACCCAGAGTGTGCGTTGGGATAACTGCTGGAGTCTAACCAGCAAAAAACCACATAGCTTGGCATTGAGAGCACTGTCTGGCAAACTTTCCTTCTGCTTGTCCTGCTAGGACCACCCTCGCCGTTAGGGATTTGGGTCAATAGTGATCACAGTTTTCCTCTGACAGGTTTACCAGCTCTGGTGGTAGGTATTGTCCTCGCTATCAACCTGGAGTTCTATGGAATGCAAGTCTATGGGAAGGATGACAACGGACAAGGAGCCTCAGCTTTGTGAGTTGTTCCATATTTTAAGTTGTCTCAGCCTGGCTCAGTGGTAGCGCTCTCGCCTCTGAGTCAGAAGTTTGTGGCCCTACATTGGGACTCAGAACACATGGTAGAGTAGTAGTTCGAGCACTTGCCTTGCAAGTGAGAGGACCCGGGTTTGATTCCCAGGAAGAGCAAATAGTAAGGCAAGTTTCCTCACTCCACACGCCTCTCTTTACCGAGCAGTAAGTAGGAACGCGGTTGCTAGTCCATTGGCGGATCACTTTCCGGGGTTAATTATCCCTCAAAAAAAAATGTGTTAGCGTCCAGAGGGACTCGGGTGTCCTTGTACACCAATCACAGAAAGTTAGTCTGCAGGTGCAGCAGCAATTAGGAAGGCGAACGGTATGTTAGCATTCATTATGAAAGGATTAGAGTATAAGAGTAGGGAAGTCTTGCTGCAACTGTATAGGGCCCTGTGAGACCACACCTGGAATACTGTGTGCAGTTTTGGTCTCCTTATTTAAGGAAGGATGTACTTGCCTTAGAGGGGGTGCAGCGTAGATTTACTGGGTTAGTACCAGGGATGAAGGGGATGAGTTATGAGGATAGGTTGACCAATTTGGGCCTATATTCTCTAGAATATAGAAGAATTAGAGGGGATCTTTAGATCAGATCACCAAAGGGCAATGATAGAGTAGATTGTAGATTGTTTCCCCGGTTGGAGAAACTAAAACCAGGGGTCACAACCTTAAAATCAGAGGCCAACCCTTTCGCACTGAGTTGAGGAAGAACTTCTTCACTCAAAGGATGAATGTATGGAACTCACTGCCCCAAAGGGCTGTTGACGCTCAGTCCTTGAGCATATTGAAGACTGAGATGGATAGATTTCTTATTGCAAAAGGGATTAAGGGATATGGGGCTAAGGCAGGGTCAGGTTATTAGCTGGAGTTAGATTAGAAGATCAGCCATGATTGAATGGCGGGGCAGGCTCGAAGGGCCGAATGGCCTACTCCTGCTCCTACATGTTATGTTATGTTAAAATTAGTCCTATTATTAATTATTATTATCAATAAGTTACTAATGAGAAGTAATTATTTCGTAAATTATTAGCAGAAATATGTTATGATTGTGATCTCTTGCTCCCCAGTTGCTGGATTGACCATCCCATCGTCTTCTACGTGACGTGTATGTGCTACTTTGTCGTGCTCTTCCTCATGAATGTGGCCATGTTCGTGGTGGTCCTGATTCAGATCTGCGGCAGGAACGGGAAAAAGAGTAACCGGAGCCTGCGGGAGGAAATCCTCCGTAACCTGCGGAGTGTCGTCAGCCTGACCTTCCTCCTGGGCCTGACCTGGGGCTTTGCCTTCTTCGCCTGGGGCCCCGTCAACCTGGCCTTCATGTACCTCTTTGCCATCTTCAACTCCCTGCAGGGTAAGTGGATAGATTCTTGTTAGGTAAGGGAATCGAGGGATACGGGGCAAAGGGCGGGTAATTGGAGTTGAGGTACAGATCAACCATGATTTAGTACAATGGCGGAACAGGCTCGACGGGCTGAATGGCCTCCTCCTATTCCTATGTTCCTAATCAGTGCTCCCCCTGGCTTGTACGCCCAGCTCGTTCAGCCTGGCTCGGTCGGTAGCTCTCTCATCTCTGAGTCAGAAGGTTGTGGGTTCAACAACAATAAATTACGTTTGGAGAACGCCTTTCGCGTTCCAAGGTGCTGTCCTGAGCACCAGTCACATGGTGAGCGTGTATTTAAGTATTTAGATAGAGATAGTTACGGATAATAATCATAATAATAATCCTTGCAAGGCACTGTATCATGTATCAGATGCAAGGATTATTTATTAGCATGAACAACAAATTGCTATATAAGTGTAATTTGTTGTTCTTGTGGAGTCCTGTAGCTCAGTGGTTAGAGCACTCGCCTCACAAGAGAGAGGACCCGGGTTTGATTCCCGGCAGAGCAAAACATTGGGCAAGTTTCCTTATTCCACACGCCTCTGGTTACCTGGCAGTAAGCAGGAACCTGATTGTTAGACGATTAGCGGATGGCTTTTCTGGGGATAATAATTCCTTCAAAAATAATAATAATAACAATAAATTGGTGACTCAATCCATGACTGTTTGTGGGACACTACTGTTTGCAATTGGCTGCCGTGCTTCGCCCACAAAATATACACTTTAGAGTATATTCTGCGAAGCGTTTTGAGACGTCTCGAAGACGTGATAAGGCGCTATATCAATTGCAAGGATTATTATTATTACTATCTTGTTCAACATATATGTAACCTCAGGGGTCTGACCTTGTTAGTCTCTCTCTCTCTCTCTCTATTACACATAGGGTTCTTTGTCTTCGTCTTTCACTGCGCTCTGAAGGAGAACGTGCAGAAACAATGGAGACGGTACCTGTGCTGCGGTCGCTTCCGACTCCCGGAGAATTCAGGTGAGAGTGGGATTACATCGGAATTCCCTCCCGAAGCGAGAGGACCTGGGTTTGATTCCCGGGCGGGGCAAAACCTTAGGCGAGTTTCCTTACTCTACACGCCTCTGTTTACGTAGCAGTAAGTTGGAACCCGGTTGTTAGTCAATTGGTGGATCGCTTTTCCGGCGGTAATAATCCCCCTCTTCCCCAAATAATAATAACTTGGTCACTCAATCCATGACTGTTTCTGGGACACTGCTGTGTACAATTGGCTGCCATATTTTGCCCACACAATATATAGTGAATTTACTTTGTAGTGTATTCTGTGAAGCGCTTTGAGACGTCTCAACGACGTGATTAAAGGATTATATCAAATGCGAAGATTATTAACATTAGGTTGTTATTCTAATGAATTTTAAATTGCTGCTGTGGTCTAAAATGGGGCCCGTTGGCCATTTTGTTTTGTGCTTCCAGACTGGAGCAGGACAGTGACTAACAATACCAAGAAGGTCAGCTCCGAGAACCTGGGCAAGTCTCTGTCTTCCAGCTCCATCGGCTCCAACTCCACTGGCTGGGCCAGCAAGCTAAAGTCCAGCTCCAACCTCTTCAAAACCAGCAGCAACAAGGGTGAGGAGCAGAGAGGGGCAGTGTGGGGGGGTGGGAAGCAGGATACTTGGGACAGACTCCTAACTAGAGGTCAATAAGGTCCAACGTTAGGGACTATAGGTTTGAAAATCTGCCATAACCTGAAGGTTCAAAATTTCTCGTGGGCCTTGGCCTGTAAGGTTGTAGCCTGAAATTCCACTTGTCTCTTGTCTGCGAGACCTCAAGCCCAATATTCCACCTAGACCTTTAGCCTGTGAGATTGTAGGAGTGAAATGTCGTCTCATCTCTCGCCTGTAAGACAAAAGGCCCATAATTGCATCTAGTCTCTTACCTTTAAGGTGGAGACATGAAATTCCACCTAGGTTTAGCCTGTGAGACTTGTGGCCCCGAATTCCTCCTATGGCCTCGGCTATAGGCCTGAAATTCCACCTAGTCTCTTGTCTGTGAGTTGAAAGTCCCCCAAATGTACCTATGCTTTAGCCTGTGAGATTGTAGGTCCAAAATCCCACCTATGTTCTTGCTGTGAGACTGTAGGTTTAAGGCTATGCGCCCACTAGGGCGAGGAGGTGAGGAGAGGGAGGTCTGTGTCTATCCTCGCTCACCGCGCTCCCGAGTAATGAAACTTGATGTGTTTTTGGAACTAGGATGACGTCCGCTGAGCGTGGGCCTGAGTGCAGAGCTGGGCTTCCCCCCCCCCTCCCCCAACGTCAAGGTAATGCATGCTGAGGCAGCCCACCAACAGCGGCAGCAACAGGGCAGGTGGTGGCAATGAGCTTACGGGACTAACTCACACTATTGACCAAAAGCGGTGGGTGGTGGGTTGCCTCGTGGGGGAGAGGTGGGGTGATGGAAACATCTAACGTGTGATGAGGGGGAGGAGATGTTAGGGGAGGACTTCACTCTCTGGTCTTTCTTTTCCCCCTCCTCACATATTTTGGGTTCCCCCCCACCTCCTCCTCAATTTGATGGATCGGTCCGAACCGAGATCAGTCTTATATTTCGCCCACAAAATTCACAGTCAATCCACTTGACAATATAGTTTGTGAAGCGCTTTGAGACGCCTCAACGACCTGATAAGGCATTATATCCAATGCAAGAATTAATAATATATTAGTACTTATTATATTAACGCTTCCTCTCCTCCCTTTTTGTTAATATCCCAAATTAAACCCAATTGAATAATCAATCCCCAATCCCCCCGCTCCCACCCACAAGCATACATACACTCATTCTCGCTTCACATTGTACATATAACTGGCATGTCAGAGCCACACACGTGAACATGCATGTGTGCGTGGATGCATGTGTGTGCGTGTTATCTTGTTCTAAGTCGGAATGGTCCAACTGGTGGCCCGTGGGCCGCATTTGGCTTTATCCGGCCCCCTTCCTCCCTCCAATTCATCTGGCCCGCCCACTTCCTCCGTAACCTGTAAACGTTACGTTTCTGGAAGGGAAACACAAAAATATTGCTTGAAAGACAGTTTCTCAAATAGGATGTCTGGCCTTGAGCAGCCAAAAGGTTGGGTTCCCCCTGCTCCGGGTTCTGCTCCGGGGAGCTTGGCGACAGTCCCAGAGAGCGCGGTGGGGAGGGTGGGCTCTGGGTGGGGTCTGGGTGTGGAGGGGGAGTTGGAATCTCTTAATAGCTGTGCTGCTTTGAAGCTTTACCTTCCCCCTGATGTAGTCCAGCCCCACTACATTGAGGGTTGGGTGTACACCATGAGATGTATTGTTACCCTCTCATAAAACATAGCGGGCAATTTCGCCAACTTATTGTAATCAACCCACCAAACAATCTCCAGTCAGCCCCCACCTCCTTACCACACTGACAATCGCTGTGTCCAACAGCTGACCATGCTTCAGAAGGTTGAGGGTTCAAGCCCCACCTCAGGACTTGGAACCCACATAGTCAATGCTGACCCTCCAGTGCAGTACTGGGGGAGTGCTACACTGCCATAGGTGTCATCTTTCAGATGAGATGTTAAAATCAAGATCTCATCTGCCTGTTCAGGTGGACGTTAAAGATCCCATCTGAAAAAAAGAGGGCAGTTTCTCTCTCCTGGTGTCCTGGACAACAATCTCCCAAATATAATTGGTCACTCACTTTATGGGACACTGCTGTGCGCAAATTGACTGCTGTGTTCAGCTACAAATACACAGTCATCACTTAACAGCTGCGAAGCGCTTTGAGACGTCTCGAAGACGTGATAAGGCGCAGTATCGAATGCAAGGCTTGTTGTAACGGCTTAACCAACCAAGAAAGGATAGTTATGTTGTTTTCCTCATTTAACCAGCAATGTAACACTACGATCTGTGAGCCAGGTGTCCCGTGTATGGTGTGGGCAGATTCTGGGAATAACAAAAAAAAATTTCACCAGTTTCATTCAGTGTATCTTGACTTAATGTTTAATTTAACCCATGTTAAGTTGGCACTTAATAAAATCGGTCATTCACCTCATAGCTCTCTGTGGGACATTGCTGTGTGCAAATTGGCTGCCGTTTGGAGCCCACATAGTCAATTTGACTTTGCTGTGTTCTTGCACAAAATACACAGTCACTGCACTTTACAGTAAATTCCTGCAAAGCGCTTTGTGACGTTATTGCAAGGATTATTATTATTTGTGGAGTAATTCCCAAATATGCTCCCAATTTATAAGCATTTCCCTCCCCCCCACCACACCCCCGGTTTCCCGAACAAAAATTTTTGAAAAGATTTGAATTGGAGGATTTTATTCCATGAATAAATTCTGCGCCGTCTCGAATCTTGAGGCCAAAAGGGACCCTCGGGCTGAGAGCGGGTGGAACGTCAGGCCTCTGAGGATGCCTGGGTGAAATTGCATGGGTTAACTGGCATATGCCCACAAAACGTGCAGTTACTACACTTTACAGTGTATACTGTGAAGCGCTTTGAGACGTCTTGAAGGTGTGATATCACGTGCAAGGAGTATTATATGTATATATATATATTTTATATTATATATACATCACACATCTCAATTGTCGCGCCTCCCTGTGCAGGGGGAGATGCTCTGCGGCTGTCTATTGACTATGTCTCTGCACGTATCTGCTTGAACTGGCCAGGCAAGTGGAGGTTGGCTGTCGCCTCCTGCTTGTCCCTCATCCCCTCTGTTCCACCATCGGCGGCCGTGCTCTCAGCCACTACGCCCTGAGTCTCTGTAACCCTCTGCCTCAATCCCTCTGCCTCGCCCCCTCCCTGCTCATCTTCAGAACGCACTTGCAAGTCCTTCCTCTTCGACCGTGCTTACGGCCACCTCCCTCTCCCCGTGGCTCGGTGTCAGGCTCTGTCACTGCTAAGTGCTCTGCGACGCTAGACTGCGTGATGGGCACTGTGTAAATGCAAGTTTTTGTTGTAAACTCTTAAGACTTGGTGTTTTCCTTGTTTCCCCTCCTCCCCTCCAGGCGACCATTTTGTGACCTCTCCATCCAACAAGTTCGAGCGCCCGGGCGTCCCCCAGGAACCCGCCCACAATGTCCTGGACAAGGTCAAAGGTTACTGCTCCGCCCACTCCGACAACTTCTACAAGAACATCATGATGTCCGATGCCTTCAGCCACAGCACCAAGTTCTGACCCCGGAAGCTTCCGGAAGGCCCCGGATGACATTCGCTGATGCAAGCTGGGTAACCCCCAAGCCCATTCCCCCCTTTTCACCCCCCGCCCCTCCCACCCCCCGCTCTCACACAGACTGATACAGACACTCACGTCTGGTGTTGGAGGGTATATGTTGGGGGTGCGGTGGTTTGGGGGATGGGGGAGAGGAAGGAGCCCCAGTTTTTTTCACTTAGGGTCCTTCACTTAAGGACTAGTTGGGCCAACAGCCTGATTCTGTGCGTGTATTGACTTCTGAGCGGCCATATTGGCTCAAAGTTTAGTCGGTGGGGGGGGGCTCAGAATTGGAATCGAATTTCTCACGATTTGCAATGCAAGTTACATTCATGTACTGCACCTTTCACTGTCGGGAGGATGTGTCAAAGGGTTGGGCACCTGAGGTGGGGAAGGTGGGGGGGGAAAAGATGTCCGAAAACTTAGTCCAAGAGGGGGCATCTTGAGGCAAGCCTTGAAGGAGGGCGGGAAGGAGTGAGCGAGTCGGAGGGACTCCGGGATGGAATGCCACAGAGCGGGAACAGGTTTGTGTGGTGGGGAGGGAACAGAATAGCGCCTAAATTTAGACTGGGTTCGGAGAATGTTATCGGATGTTTCCTCTATCGAGCTGTTCCGGGTGAGTCTAGACCACGACTCCACCATCAGTGCCTTCAGTCACTACGCCCTGACTTTCTTTAGCTCCCTGCCTCAATCCCCTCGCCTTTTCCCCTACTTGCCCCACTTCAGATCGCACCTGAAGACCTTCCACATCGACCGTGCCTACGGTCACCTTCCCCCTCGCCCTGGCTTGGCGTCAGGCTCCACCACTGTCAAAAGCTCCAAGACGCAACCCCCAAGTGAAGGACGCTGCATAAATGCAAGTTGTTGTAATAATGGCTGTTGGTAACACAGGCTGCACCGCAGCTCCTTCACCAGCTGGTGGCGATAGTGCAACACTGCGGGGGAGTGTGCAAGTGTGTGTGTGTATGGTGGGGGTGGGGGGGGTGTGGTGGGGGTGAGAGAGAGGTGTCTCAGGTCTCCCCACTGCCACCTTCAGGCATTCTGCAGTACTGCAGCAACAAGGTCCAAGCGTAGCGATTCCCATCATTGGCGCTTTGGGGGGATGCAGAAGGCCCTTTGATCCACTCCGTCACGAGGACCCTTCACACAGAGAAGCTGAGCTGAGAATCCCACGCCTCCCACCTACACATGGAAATCCCAGAGATAGAGTGTTGGAATGGAATGCGCTCTCTCTCTCTCCCCGGAGGGACGTATCCTGTTTACCTAATTCTGGAAAGTATTAGGCGCAGGTTGGGGAGAGCCAAGGCTTGGGGACCCCAGAGTGTGCGTTGGAGTAACTGCTGGAGTCTAACCTCTGTGACCTGCTAACTCCATACCAGCTTGTCCGCTCCCTCCGCTCGGCGGACTCTGGTCTGCTCCACATCCCCCTCCTCACCAGCGGTCAGGCCTTTAGCCTCTCTGGAATTCATCCCAGAGCCCCTTGCCTCCTTCAAGATCCATCTCAAGACCCTCCTCTTTGACCATGCCTTCGGTCACCCTCCTACCCCCACTCTCCCTGCCCTCCACCCCCCCTTGATCCCAATCCTCAGCTCGGGTGCACATCATAGACTCTCCAGCGCCTCGGGACGTCCTTCCGACATGAAAGGCGTTGTGTAAATGTCATTTGTTGTTGTGTTCCAGTCAAGAATTAACAGGAGTCCTGTAGCTCAGTGGTTAGAGCACTCGCTTTGCAAGTGAGAGACCTGAGTTCAATTCCAGGCAGAGGGTGAAACCTTGGGCAAGTTTCCTTACTCCACACAGAGCCTAATAATAATCCCTCCAAAACCAAAAACAATAATAAATTGGTCATTTTCAATCTACGACTGTTTGTGGGACATTGCTGTGCGCAATTGGCTGCCGCGTTCGCCCACAAATATACAGTCAATTCACTTTACAGCATATTCTGTGAAGCGCTTTGAGACGTCGAGAAGATGTGAAAAGCGCTAAGTAAAAGGATTATTATTATTATTATTACAGCCCAGAGACAATACCCTCAAGAATGCTGGTGCACTTGCTCAAACCAGTTGCAACAGAAAGACGCACACATACCTTTCCCCTTTTGTTTCGCCTTGAGCTCCTATTAGGAAAGTTCCACACCCTGTTAATAGGTTATAGCACTTTAGTTTTTTAACCCATTCTTGCCTGCCGTTACCCTTTCCTTCTGCTGATCGCTGTCCCTCTTCCGAGCCCACTCCACTCCCCGGGTTTTAATAACAATAATCCTCGCTTTCGATATAGCGTCTTATCACATCATTGAGATGTATCAAAGCGCTTCACAGGATGTACTGTAAAGTGGATTGACTGCGTATTTTGTGGGCCAAAAGTTTCCCTTTCCCTTTCTCTCCTCTCATCACTGCCGCCTCAACACTCCCTCCCCCCCCCACTTGAAATTCTGCCCCGTTCTTTGGCCGGACATCATCATAACACTGACAATCCTTGCATTTGGTCCACTGTCCTTCACATGGAAGTGCTGGATGGACAGAGTAGAGGGAGCTTTACTGTGTATCTAACCCGTGCTGTCGCTGACCTTGGATTGTGGGAGTTTTTATGCCCCCAGTCCTCCCTCGCTAATGCATACATCAAGCTCTCCCTTAAACGCATTGATGTTTCCTGCTTCAACCACAGCCTCCGGGAGCCAGCTCCACACCCTGACCATCTTCCTCTTGAAGACGTTCTTCCACCCCCCCCCATTCAATTATTATTATTTATTGAAATAACAAAAATCATAATTTGGTCACTCAATCTGCAACTGTGTGTGGGACACTGCTGTGCGCAATTGGCTGCCACGTTTCACCCCAAAAAATAGACTGTCAATTCACTTTACAATATATTCTCTGAAGCGCTTTGACAAGGCTCTAGATCAAATGCAAGGATTATTATTATTAGACCAGCCATCCTACAGTCAAACCACTCTCCTTTTGGCTCACCATCAGATGGAAACAGCCCATTAACATCCACTCACTGAATCTTTTGTGAATCTCCAACAAACTCTTTAAACGTAATCTTCTTCAAAGCTCTTCTAATCTTTGTGTTGGTCAGTCGGGTGTCTGACGCGTGTGCAAAAGCCCATCACTGAGCTTAAGAGTATCCAAACCGGACTTCCACCTGTGAATGCCACGTATACATGGAAATTCCTTGTATAATGGATTTAATTGCAAATAGAATGCGCACTCTCTCCCTGGGACGTACCCTGTTTACCTAATGCTGGAAAATATTAGGCTCAGGTTGGTGATAGCCAAGACTTTGGGGGACCCTAGAGTGAGCGTTGGAGTAACTGCTGAAGTCTACCCAGTTAAATCCACATAGCTTGCCATTGATATTGCTGTCTGGAAAGCTTCCTGCTGCTTGTCCATCTGCGACCACCCAACCCATTAGGGTTTTGGTTTGCAGGGTTAAAGGCGAAGCTCGGTGGGAGGGAGGAAGGGGGTTGAGCGGGAAAAGGAGGGTTGGGAAGTAGAGTAAGGCGAGGATTAAGCTGAGACACGAGTAACTCAAGTGTTTTGTTGTAGTTAGTTAACTAGCCTTATTACAGATTAATAACTAGATCCTTGTAATTTTAGTGGATGTTATGCTCGACCCAGGCATTGCACCTTTACTACTGTGTAGTACAAACAGTCTTGTTAAATATATATATGTATGACCTCTCCCCTTACCCGTCTTGTGACTCTGCCGCCGTGACTGAGACTGAGCTCAGTGTTCCTGTAAATAGTTATTTATTGTCACTTCCCCCCCCTTTACCCGCTCACCGTCTGTGCTTTTCATATGGCTGATTGATGTCACCCCCAGAGCTGCTGGTGTGTGTGTTGGGGGGGGTGGGCGGGAGATGTTTTAGTTGTTTTTGTTGTAAAGAATAAAGAATAAATCAGTGCTTTAATCGTGCACGTTCCACGTTTGTAATTCAGTGTGCGCGTGTGCGTCTATGTATGTGCGTGTGTGTCTGTATGTGTGTGTGCGTGCGTGTCTGTGTGTGGGTGTGTGTGTGTGTGTCTGTGGTGACATAATGTGTGTGTGAGTGTACGCGTATGAATGCAAATCAGGAATGAGTGAAAGTGAGCGCAAGTGAATGTGAGTGACTGAAGGTGAGTCACTGTGTGTCAGGGATTGTATCATGACTCTGAATGTCTCACACGCACACTCTCACACACACACACATGCACACACACACACACACACACATTGCCATACACTCACACACATACAAACTATTACTCACACATTTCTATGCACATACACACACTCACACACACACTCACACACTCTTGCTCAGTGATGGGCAAGGTTGGTCTGTGGTGTCTGTGAGACTTTGACGAACTCCCCAGGGATTTCTCACAGACAGTTTCCTAATTGCTCTGACATGGCTTGCCTCCCCTGGACACAGTCGGAGAGGACAGGTCCCAGCTGGAGCCAGGATGGAGAGGTGGCAGGTTTGAGGGTGCCATTTCTCAAGAGAAACCTCCGTTCCTTTCACATCAGGAGGACGTCTCAAAACCCATTCACGGTACTGGTACAGGCCGGTAAGAAAGTGGGAGCAGAGAGTGAGGGGTGGGGGAAAGGTGACCGAAAGCATGGTCAAAGAGGTACATTTTAAGATGGACCTTGAAAGAGAGGAGGGAGAGAAAGAGAATCGTAGGGGCTCGCCTGCCAATGATGGGGTCAGATAGAGCGGGAGACATGAAGCAGGCTGGTGCCGCTGAGCAAAGGGTGTAGTTGGAGGAGATCACAGAGGTAGGGCGGGGGTGAGATTGTGAGGACATCTGAAGGTGAGAAAGAGGATCTTGAACTCGATCCGTTGGTGGGTGTATGAGGAGTCCCAAGCGCAGCAGGGGTAAAATTAAACACAGACACGATGGATCATTGATTAAACCCAAAGGTTAATAACAAAAGGAAGATTTGCAAAGCTTGTAGTGAGAAAGAAATAGCCCCATGGCT